GAGACTGCCTATTGCACTGCTAGTGGTAAGAATTATTTATTTCTTTGATTTGATGGATCGGAGCGCTGTACATAGAGGGCTTAAAGTTACGAGTATTGTAACTGACTCTTCGTTTTCAGGTATGTCGGCGATATCATCCGTGTTACTGCAGCTTTGCAACGCTGGTGGGCATGTGGTGGCAGCGAAGACTCTCTATGGTGAAAGTCACGCCTTGTTAACCCATTTCTTACCACAGAAATGCAACATAACAACAACGTTTGTGGACATTGTTGATCTTGAGGAGGTTGAGAAAGCAATGATCGAAGGAAAGACCAGTGTGTTGTACTTTGAATCCATCTCGAACCCAACTTTGATTGTCGCAAACATCCCTGAATTGAGCAAAATAGCACATGCAAAAGGGGTCAAGGTGGTGGTGGACAATACTTTTGCTCCAATGATTCTCTCCCCTGCAAAGCTTGGGGCAGATGTGATTGTGCATAGCATCTCCAAGTATATTAGTGGTGAAGCGGATATTATCGCAGGTACTCTTCAATAGCTTTAATTCCGTGGTGGAATTACATTTTTTTTATGATTTGATATTTTCTTACTGTTAGAAAAAAAAATATGCGCAGGATTTCTCATTTTAACAACATGATTAAAGGTGGACCCTTAGGACAAAATGGATTTATGGAATTGAAACCTCATCAATTGATTCACAAAATCTCTAAAAAATTCTTGTTTTCATAAATTTTAATTGATTCGAAGGTATCTAGCTGATTTTCGTTTATTTATCTAACCAGTGGGTCTTATCTTGCATGGAGTGCATAGAAAAGTATGGTTCTCGGATTATCATTGGAATGTCTAACCACAGTCTTAAAGATGTGCGAAACAAAGAGAAAAAAAGTATTCTAATGCTTTCATGGAATTTCGTAGGTGCGGTTTGTGGGCCTGCTGATATAGTGGACCAAATGAGAGACCTTCACAGAGGGCCTTTGATGTTTCTTGGCCCAACAATGAATCCCAAGCTAGCCTTCGAGATATCAGGGAGAATCCCTCACCTGAGCATGAGGATGAAGAAACATTGCAAACGAGCAATGAAGTATGTCACCAAGATGAAGGAACTGGACCCTAACCTAGATGTCTTGTACCCCGGGCTTAAAGAGCATCCACAGCACAGTCTCTTGAAGTCCATGTCCAATAAGGATTATGGGTTCGGTGGGGTTTTCTGCATTGACATGAAAACTGAAGGAAGGGCCTGTCGCTTGATGGACAAATTGCAAAACAGCACCAAATTTGGGTTCATGGGCGTTAGCTTGGGCTATTATGAGACCCTCATGACTTGCTCTTCCAGGAGCACTAATAGTATGATGGACACCAAGGAAAAGGAAAGCGCCGGCATTTCACCAGGGCTGGTAAGATTTTCCGTGGGATACGTTGGGACTTTTGAGCAGAAATGGAGCCAATTCACCGAGGCATATTCAGAAATGTAATTCTGGGTTTTTTCCGGCAAGCTCAGACCCTCGGTTTCGATCTATCTTGCGAAAATTAAACAATCACTCTCATGTTTATGCCTGCCTTGCATATTATAGCATCTCAGATCTTATGAGATATGGATTAAGACGATAATTCTCAAATGTATAATTATCATAATTATATTATTGAAGCGTATGAAGTTTAATATTTCACAATGAGTATCTCGGCTTATGTTAATTTGTTGAATTATTCATTAAATGATAACATGAAAACTAAAATCTTATATATATAAAAAAAGACGTTTCTTTTAAAACATTGTGAGTATGAAATCGGAGTTGTAAAAATTGCTTCTTAACTCAGTTCATGATATAATATACCTAAAGTGACATAAACCTTAATCTGTAAGGTTTTATATTTCATATCATATTTTAATGTATATGTCAGTAAATTCATAGCGTACATTCATTAAGGTATTTGGCTGTGTTGTTATTGATATCTGAACAACTTAATTAATAAAAGTTAAAACATCAATTTATATAAATAAAAGAAATCTAGACACTTAATATATCAATTTTCACAAAAAAGAAAAACCCTAGACACCATTATCTCAACACACAATAAATAAAAAGAATTCAATGGGTTTTACTAGATTGTGAGCAAACATGAGTTTTAGCTTGATGTCAAAGGAAAAAAAAAACCTCTCTCACCCTAAGGACTTCTTTTAAGTCAAGTTTCCCTCAGGGATCAAGATCCTCAGCAAATCAAGCATGTATTTAAAGCAAGGTTACAAGTGATCAAGCTTCTCTCGGCAAGAATCAAATCCAAGCATGATCAAGCATGTGAAAAAAGTATAGCATAAAGACATCTGGAACAAATTTAAAGCAAGGGCCCATGGAGATTTTTTTTAATGTAAATAGTAATATTACATCCATATGGTATTAGAAAGTGAGAGGAGAGGCTAGTCTTAGCATCTGAGTTGTCAAAGAAGAAAAAAACAGAGAAAGGATGTGAAATTTGACTGATTCTGTATCAATAGCACCTTAAAAAAAATATATCCAAAGCTTTGTTTGCAATTCAAATTTTAATTAGAGTATTGAAATTGTGATTAATATTCTAATATAGTATTTGGAAAACTCATATTCGTAAGGTTTTTTTTTTTATAATAATAGAAACTAATTTGGTGATTGACCTCATGAGTTGAAGAATATATATAAAATAAAAAAAATTAAACAACATTATTTTAAATAAGTTGAAGAATATATATAAAATAAAAAAAACTAAACAACATTATTTTTAAAAAAAAAACAACTCAAGTTTTGAAGGTCTTTCCCTCCTTTATTTTTCATTAAAACCAAACTGAGTTCAGGTTTAAGAATAATTAAGATCCGGAATAGTTTCTTAATTATGACTTGAAAAGAAAAAAAAGTTAATTAGACGAATAAATTGTTTTGAAAGTGGAGATAGATGCAGTGGAAAACGTGTGGGCCACCATCCATATTTTTATTGTATATTTTATTTTCATCTCAATATCATAATTTAATCCCAGCCAAAAAAAAGAAAATTGAATTTTGAGTCCCGAGAGGAAATTGCTTCTCGACCCGTTAGACTTTTTCAAGTCTATGTTTTACGCTAGCACCCCATTCATACTTCTACTCAGTCAACGAATGAGACCTGCATATTCAAAGTCAATGTGTTAGTTTTCCACATCGTCTTTTTTGACTGGAGAGGTCCGTTGGCAATCATAGAGGCGAGAATACAGGAATATTTTTGCTAAATAATTGAGATTTATATACATAATTATGTATTAATTACTAATGATTTAGAATTTAATTACATTATTATATATTTATAATTCATATAGTTTATTAATTGATCCCAGCATGATAAATTACTACATAGTTTATTAAGTAGAATTGACCGTTAAGAGTGTAATATTTCTGTTGCTCGGAACTTTAATACCTAAACTACCCTTTAACATTTATCTTCAGTACATTCACAAGTATTTGACAGTCCAGAGTGAGACCTGACACTGCGGATAGGCTTTTGGGATGTGTATCGAACCTTCGATTCAAGTAGGGCAAGACGGCAAGGTTCCGTAGAGGGATTTTATTGAGAAAAAAATTTAATTGTTTGTGGCCAAAACCAAAGTCTTCAGCCCATCGGAAATGATCAAGTTGATCAGATTATAGGGTTTATATATATATATAGGTTAAATCAGTTTAATTTTAAATTAATTTTTTTATACTTAGCTCAGGAGAAGATGTGGGTTAATAAATTTCTCGTTAACCCATTAAGTTAGGTTAATTTAATATAAGTTTCAGAGAACAAAAGGAGGTGATCTTTATTAATAAATAATAATAATAATAATGAAATTTTATTGTACTTTTACTCACAAAATATTATTTATTATAATATTTTTTTTATAATATATGTTTTTTTATTTTAATTACATCCTTTAATATTAATTATTTTTTATTTTTTCAATTAATTTTTTTTTTAATTTTATTTTTTAATAATAAATTGATTAAGAATTGAGTTTTATAATTTGTTTTCAACCTAAATTGATTATACTTATTTTTTTTAATTTTATATTTTTTAATTTATTTTAATTTATTTTCTATAATATTATTATAATCTCATGACCTAACATATAAATTGATAGAATAATCCAAGTTGATCTAAATCAATCCAATATTCTCATGTCGTATATTTATAACAAAATCTCATATTAAATATTTATTTCAAGCTAAATTTTATTTTTGCTGATTTTTTTAGTTATTTTCCTGTACACCACGTCATCATGTGACACTAAATAAATTTTTTAATGGTTTAGATTTTTATTTTTATATAAAAAAATATCAATAATATCTAAACATTTTTTTATTAAATTTTTTTATCAGTACAAAAGATGAAGAGGTCCCTGCTCTCCAGTCAAAGGTTTTTGTATCTGTTTCCCCAATTCAATGAACTAGAGGACCATGAGTGCTCAAAGTATCATCTGTCCCCGTTGTTTCATAGGTCAGCTATTTTGAACTTTGACTATCATCTTCATAAGAAGGGTGGACGTGCGGTTTCTGAGTGAAAGATAGCGGTAACGTATCCCATTTTGTTTCCGCTCATGATCATATAAAGACCGAACAGAGTCTTTTCTAACATTAATACACGAATCACGATCGAGTTCTGGTGAGTTCCGAGGAGGATTAATCTCTAGGAGAATTAGTTATGGATAGAAAAACTGTTAACGTTGGGATTGAGTCCAAGAAAGAAGTTCCAGCTGAAGCTTTGGCCGCCGCTCGGCATCAGCTAGGTGAACATAATGGTATTAACATGTCCATCGAGGCCTCTAATACCTTCACCTTCAAGGATTCCGATGCCATGAACCGTGCTTTCCTAGGTGAGGTCGGTCCCAAGACTGGGATTTACATCTATAGTCGTCACTTAAACCCCACCATACTAAACCTTGGCCGTCAGATCGCTGCCATGGAAGGAACTGAGACTGCCTATTGCACTGCTAGTGGTAAGAATTATTTATTTCTTTGATTTGATGGATCGGAGCGATGCATGGAGGGCTTAAAGTTACTTGTATTGTAACTGACTCGTCGTTTTCAGGTATGTCGGCGATATCATCAGTGTTACTGCAGCTTTGCAACGCTGGTGGGCATGTGGTGGCAGCGAAGACTCTCTATGGTGGAAGTCACGCCTTGTTAACCCATTTTTTACCTCAGAAATGCAACATAACAACAACGTTTGTGGACATCGTTGATCTCGAGGAGGTTGATAATGCGATGATTGAAGGAAAGACCAGTGTGTTATACTTTGAATCCATCTCGAACCCAACTTTGATTGTCGCAAACATCCCTGAATTGAGCAAAATAGCACATGCAAAAGGGGTCAAGGTGGTGGTGGACAATACTTTTGCTCCAATGATTCTCTCCCCTGCAAAGCTTGGGGCAGATGTGGTTGTGCATAGCATCTCCAAGTATATTAGTGGTGAAGCGGATATTATTGCAGGTACTCTTTAATAGCTTTAATTCCGTGGTGGAATTGCAAGTTTTTTTAATGATTTGATATTTTCTAACTGTTAGGAAAAAAAAAAAACATAGGATTTCTCATTTTAACAACACGATTAAAGGTGGACCCTTGGGACAAAATGGATTTATGGAATTGAAACTTCATCAATTGATTCACAAAAATCTCTTAAGATTCTTGTTTTCAGAATTTTTAATTGATTGTAAAGTCTCCAGCTGATTTTCGTGGTTTAACTTGATGGAGTTGGCAAGAGTTTTTTCTTTTCTTTATCTAACTAGTGGTTTGGGGATTGCTTGGAATTTGGAACTGTCACGCATGAACAGGGCATAGAAAAGTATGGCTGTTGGCTTCATTTTTATTACTTAATTATTATTAGAATGCCTATCCACAGTCGAAAAGATGTGTGAAAGAAAGGGAAAAAAGTATTCTGATGCTTTCACGGAAATTCATAGGTGCGGTTTGTGGGCCTGCTGATATAGTGGACCAAATGAGAGACCCTCATGAAGGGCCTTTGATGCTTCTTGGCCCAACAATGAATCCCAAGTTAGCCTTCGAAATATCAGGGAGAATTCCTCACCTGAGCATGAGGATGAAGAAACATTGCAAACGAGCAATGAAATATGTCACCAAGATGAAGGAACTGGACCCTAACCTCGATGTCTTATACCCCGGGCTTAAAGAGCATCCACAGCACAGTCTCTTGAAGTCCATGTCTAATAAGGATTATGGATTCGGTGGGGTTTTCTGCATTGACATGAAAACTGAAGGAAGGGCCTATCGCTTGATGGACAAATTGCAAAACAACTCCAAATTTGGGTTCATGGGCGTTAGCTTGGGCTATTATGAGACCCTCATGTCTTGCTCTTCTAGTAGCACTAATAGTATGCTGGACAACAAGGAAAAGGAAATTGCCGGCATTTCACCAGGGCTGGTGAGATTTTCTGTGGGATACGTTGGGACTTTTGAGCAGAAATGGAGCCAATTCACAAAGGCATATTCAGAAATGTAATTCTGGGTTTTTTCCGGTAAGCTCAGAGCTTCGGTTCCAATCTATCTTGCGAGAATTAAACAATCACTCTCATGTTTATGCCTGCCTTGCATGTTAT